AATGTCACCCATAACATGCTCCTCTCTACTTCCCAGAGGAAATGTCATAAATGATGATCCTGTCCTAACTCAGGGCACATGTCAGTATTTGTGTCACTGTGGGAAAGACAGGTCTAAATATATTTATGGTAGACAGTATCTCTTTGTTCAAAAAGTTTTTTTTTTTTTCAAATAACCGATTAGAAGACGCTCCATTTCAGAATTTTTCAAAAGTGGTAAGATAATTTCTATTTGCCTGTCTCCCATCTGAGCTCCTAATTTGGAAATGTGAGGGCTTAAAAGCCCACGTCGTTTGTGATTATCTATTTATACACATTCTTTCCTTTTCTAATGGGCCTTTGTCTTGTCGTAAGGGTTCTTCCCACTATTAAAATGTAGTAAACCCAGAGGATCAAGACAATTAAGGTTAAAAAATGTCAACACTTGTTTTTTACAATGGAAGTTGAGTCAGAAAATATTGACACTCCCAAGATTGCCCAGAGTGGCTATCCTACACAGACAAATGTAATAACAAATGAAATAACAAAAAATGACAGCTAACTCTCCTCTATGAAACTAGTCATGTCTTTGGCTAAGTCTCTTTAAAAGAAAAAATCAAGCCACTCCCCTTCTCACAGGTACATCTACTGCTGACTTTGTAAACAGCTTCCAAAGGCATCTATCTACATAATGCCAATCAGCACAAGTGACCTTCCCAGTGGGGTATTAGCTCCCATTGTGCCTTTATGTTAAAAAGGCTCTTCAAGAATGGAGTAGTCTTAACTTTTAAATACTAACATCTGACATCAAATGAACTTCAGAGAGACATCACAATATGCTGCCATGTTCAAAAGTACTTGTCTCAGTGTCTGTGCATGGCAGGTACCCAAACAAGACTGGTATCTTCTGTTCTCTCCAAAAGATACTTCCAGATGTAAAGGATATTATTTTCTCTTTTACAACTAAAATGAATATCTTAGTGAACTTTGTATATTTATCCTTAAGTCTGTTTTGAGAAAAATAAAATAAAAGCAAGTGGAAGTCAAATAACTATAGCGAATAAGAAGCAGACGAGAGGAGGGGAAAAGAGTGGAATGGAGTTTAAGAATGGGAGAGGAGAAAGAAGAGGGGAGGGGTATTGTGAACTGGACAGGTCTGCTATTTCCCCAAACACATTCATTCCAGTAAGATAATAAAACAGGAAAACATTTTCATTTTCTTTTCTGACAGCTGGGAGCATAAATGGTTGCAGCAATAATATCAGAAATTGTTGGACATTTTGAGCATTCTTGCTAGTGAAAAGCCAGCATTACAGCCAACTTGAAATACTTAATGGCCCCAAGGTGCCCTAGAAATTTTGTTTTTCTGATGCATGAATGTCAGCTGCAGGAAGAAAGTGATGTATATTGTCTGGTGGGCAGCATGCTGGCCAGACACCAAATTTAGAGTGTCTCCCTATACTCTGGGTTCCAGCTCAACTGTCCTTTACAGACATTACTACCCCACAAGCATGAGTTTCCTCCAAAGCAAATCAAAACTGGGAGTACTATTTAAGATCCATCAACTCCCTAGCCCCCAACCCCCGCAAAAAAAAAAAAAAATCAGTTCTGTCTTGTCACCTCTACAAATGCTTCAAGAAGCTGGTCTGATTCCAAGACAAGTTGAAGATAGCTGAATACCAAGGAAGTGGATTATTTCCAGTCCAATCTAGATAGGGCCTGTCAGGGGAGTCTAGAAAGCTCCAAGAATAAGAGTATTCAGGCCTCATAATCTTATACACATTTAAGTAAGATGTCCTTAAATACATAAAATAGCCACTCTAATTTAATCATCTGCTTATGAAAAGGGCAACATTATAAATTGAAGAATTGGTAAGTCAAATATTTCACTCATAGGAATTTTTAAAATACATCTGACATCAAATGAACTCCAGACACTTCACATTAGCCAAAAGGTACTGGCAAACATCTGAGACGTAGCTGCAGGTACCAATCCTGATCTGAGGGAGCATTACTATGGCCTGAAGCCTTCATTATGATGCCATTTGCTCTGCCTGCATGATCAGAGTTTTATCGGCTATGCTTTTTTTTTTTTTTTTCAATAAAATCTCCAGGGACTTCTCCATGGAAAGAAGAATCCCTGGAATTTTTACAATATTTGATGAAATTTCTAAAATCTATATGAGGATAATCACGAATGGAGAGAGACTTCAGACAAACAAGAAATCCACTCCCCCCAGATTTTCCAATCACTCCACTTTGCTAACCATTCACTGTTTCCTGTCTCTCTAGAGTGTCTAGAAGAATCATTAATAGCCTATGAAGATAAAATGGAAACAACACATATCCATCTTCAGTGTGGATGACAATCTTGGGCAGTAAATAAACAAGAGGTGGCATGGGGGAAGGGACAAGAAGTAAGAATACCATGCATGTTGCTACTTCAGAACATGCTTTCAATAACCATGCTTCAACAGTGACTCAGAAGTAGAAAATTGGCATGAGTCAATAAAACAACAATTTTTCCACCTATTCTTTCTGCTATTATTGAGCAATGTGCTCTTGAGACTGAAGTTCTTTTCTAAGCCTGTGATTGACTTTCTGATTGATAAACATTATAATATAGTGCCTATTCTTTTATAAAGCTGAAGCAGTCAAAACATCTTAATACATATATTTAGCCTCTCCAATTTGTTCTTCATATTAAAATTTGCCATCTACTAAGCAGATATTAAATGAAGTCTATATAAAATATAAGAAACAGGTGCAACATCACATGAAATTCATACTGTCATGATGTATGTATGTACAAAGACATAAAACATTTGATTTTGTAACTAACAAATGAAAACCAAGGAAAACTGTTTTCTTTGTAAATTATCTGGCATTTATTTATATAATATTATTTATACCACACAAAAAAGTGCTCAGAAAATAAAAGGATAACCAAGCAATCCACAGTTTGGCATTATGAGTAAAATTTACTGAGCTGAGCTAATTTTTCCACTAATGATTTGTTAAAGAAATATTTTTTCCTGAAAAATAAGTGACACATGTCATTATCTTAAACAAAGAGCTAATAAAAGAAAGGAACAATGAATATCACCAACAGTTCTGAGCTTAACCAACAATAATGCTTTAAAAAGTGAAGTATTAGATTCTTTCCCTGAAGTCATCTCAGATCATTAACTTGAAATTATAACTAATAGCAATTTAAAGCTATACAACAATTTTTAAAGTAAATTTGAAATCAGGAATATAAAGCTCATGTACATTAATCAAATATTTCTAAAACCTCTGTCTTATTTTTGGGTTCTCATTGTAACTGATTCAATGAGACATACTGGTTGATGTTATATTGTTTATTGAAATCAAGACAACTGGGTTTTTTTCTCCCAATCAATTCATCCTTCCATCTTGGATAGAGAAACAGAGAGAGGGTACAGTTGTTTGAGCTAAAAAAAATAGCTTACCACTATAACTTTCTACCCAGAAGTCCAACTTTCCACATTGCATTATATGCATAAGACAAAATTTTAAATTCTCACATCACTACAGTATTCAGAGTCCTACCAAACAACAGAATATATTATGACTTATTTAAAACATCTAACTGCCACCAAAATGTTTTTTCTCAGATCTAATCCCAACTCTAAACTAATCAAGTATCCAGTTATTTTAACCAAAGTAGAAATACCATAGTAATAATTTAGCCTCAAGTGGATTATTTTCTTGCTTTATTCAACTGAAATACTTTAAAAGTTCAATGGTCGGCTATTTTTCTTCCCCATCATACTGTGTTGTCCCAGACATATGTAATTGCATTCACAAGTACACAGTATAGTACTGTCCACAGGCTAAAGAATAAGACAGCTAGCATAATGCCAGGAACCAGGCATCTTCTCCTTACAGCAATAACAACCTTCCCTCCAACACATAAACATCACTACCTTTTAATGATTGTGAGCTACACAGACAAAAAAGTTTTGATTTCCTGCAGATCCAGGTAGCACACAGCCTTTCATCTTTTCTAATAATCAGCTCTGATGTCACTGAAAAAAAAACAAATGCAAACTCATCCTGGACTCTTCAGTGGTTTACTCTAATCAAAACCTTTAACAATTTTCTTGGTTTCAAGGTATGATTTCCTTTTTATTATTGTTATATTAACTAAAGGAATCTTGCCCAATAAGCATTCCAGATAATGTGCTCAAGAAAAACAATCCCAGCATAAAATGCAATAGAAACAATTGGTACAAAGTTACATAAAAAATACAGCATCCTTAATCTTAGTAAGATTATTGATTATAACCAGAGTGAAGTTACCCAAGCAACCACTCTGAAGCATGGGCAATAACCAAATGCATCTTTATTACAGTGGCTCAATGTCTTGAAGTTTGCATAAAGATGTCAGATGTGTTCACGGCAAAAAGAAATTCCTCTGGGATATAAATGTTTATTTAATGGGCATATGACACTAGAATATAAATATCTACAAGCAAAATCATATAAACAGAACAAAAGAATAAGAGTAAGGCAAAAAACCTAAAATTGATTAGTTAGGAGTAAAATCATTGAACTACATCAAACCACATATATTCACACAGACACATTCACTCTTGCCACAGAGCTGCAAGTGGTCTATTTTTATTTCTAAAATGTGATACACTTATGTAAGTATTATAACCTAAACATTTAGGAGGAATATTTAAAAAGATTCCAAAATTATGATAGATAATATTAAATCAACCTGTAACAAACAAAATATACCGAATGCCCAAACTTGCTGTCATTGCTAATGACAGACTGATCTATGTAAAAATCAGCAAGAAGTGTGTGAAATCTCATTTATGTCCTTGTGTTTCAACAGCTATGTGTCAATTGAGAACGTTCGATCACCTTCAGGTATCGTAGACAATCTTTGGTGATTTGGAGAATCTACAAGGCCACAAAGTTGATAGGTGGAAAACATCTAGGAAGCCAGAAGTTTCCATTTTTCAAAGAAAGTGAAGAAATTCTTACCTTTCTGTACACCAGCATGTTGGGTGATTCATCTGCCACCCCGTTGCTGGTCTGCCCATAATTATTCCCCTGGGCCATGTCACCCAAAACTTGGTCGGCTCTTAGACACAAGAATTACCAGTCTGCCCTGCAAATGGTTAGAGAGACTTGAGTGAGATACTAGAGACAATGATAAAGAGGTTGACTCCCCGATACATCTTCATATTTGCAGCTCCACATGGAGCATGCTTACAAGCCAAGGATGGCTGGGAGGAAGTGACACAGGACATAGATTTTAAAAATAAAAATAACAACTCACACCTACAGTATCCCCAGGGAATGTAGAAATTAAAATCGTTGGGTTAGAAATAGTTATTGGCCTACGGTGTTAACTGACTTCATTTTCTGGGTACTTATTTTTAAAAGCGTGAAATGCTCACCTTAAAAACCCATGGTTACCATTTCCATAGTGCCAGTGCCGGGAGTTGTTTTCTCTCCCAATACTTGCATCTCCACTTGCTTGTGTTTTTCCAAGAGTGGAAAAGCAACACCCAGGGGCAGCACACTTTCTCCCAGGCATCTTTCTAGCTGCCACATGCAGGAGCATCCGAGAGGCCCATTCCCCATGTCATTCCCCAGCAC